CAGCATGAACATGTGGCTCGGCAAGTCAGAGTTGACAAAAATTAAGAAAAGTGCTGCCCTTGGTCCCTCCCCTGGCATGTTTCCTACTTTACAATGACTTTCATTCTTAGCTTGGTGCTTGTTGTTCACAGTACTCCCAGAAAATACTCACATTTCTTCATCTGCTAGTTACAGCAATATTGCCTTCCTGCTGTGGGAGATAAGATTGATCTGATGTTCATGTCCTTTCTCCATAGCACCAATGGAGACACTTCCTGTTACTAGACCATCCTAATATAATTGATATCATATTTTATGTGGGCCAATAGCAATTGTTATAACAATGTAAACGTTACTCAGAAGAGATATGTTGTAGGAAATTATTTCTTTTCCTTGACTCATCTTTCCCACATAGACTAATAATTGCAGAGCCAACTCTAATTAATCTTTGCATTAAAAACCTGGAGTCAGATATACAGGTTAATGCTGAAAGATCAGAGAAGCAGAGCAGCCAGCCACTAGTTCTTACCTCTACTGAACCCTAAGACCAAAGGGACAATCCTGTCCCAACTAATCCTCAGACTGAATATCATGTTCTCCTGTCTCCTCCTGACTTATATTCCTCTCTTCTCCAGCCATATCATTCATGTCTCTAACTCCCTAGTGCTGGGATTAAAAGTTTGTGACTCCCAAGTACTGGGATTAAAGGTGTGAGCCACCACTGCCTGGCTCTGTTTCTCTTAGACTGAATTAATTTTGTGTAACCCAGGGTGACCTTGAACTCACAGAAATCTCACTGTATCTTTCTCCCAAGTGCTGGCATTAAAGGTGTATGCCACCACTGCCTGGCCTCTGTGGCTAGCTAGTGGCTAGCTCCAAACTCTGATCTTCAAGCAAGTTTTATTTGTTAAAGCACAAACAAAATACCACCACAAATTATAGCCTGATTTTCACTTTGCCCAGGGTTTTTAGTATTTTCTTTGAGACTCTGGCTCATTTGTGTCAGATTCACCTTACCTGCTTCTCGCCTTGAAAAATTCTTAAAATTTCCTTTTCTCACAATAAACATTCCTTTAAGTCTCCAGTCCAGAATGGTTTCTCTCTGTGTGCACACAGTCTTCCTGGACTCTGCCCACTGGCTTTTGCCAGGTAGCTTTGCTTCTTTTATGTGTTAATTCTTACTTCCTAGATGTCTCTTTCTCTCGTGTTTGAATCATCCTTTATTTTTGAAACAAATTCAACTGTTTACTAAAATAGGATGAGTATTTCTTGGAGAATTTTTGACTATCTAACAACTCCATCAGTAGCTACCCATTTCTGAGTTTGACTCATGCAGAAGTAGTTTTTTTGTCTGTGTGAGTCTTGCTTTCAAGCTGTTGTGATGCCCATTTTTACATGTCACTGTTATTTCTTCTTACTCAGAATCTGCTATAGTAATGGGCAGTAAGTGGGGGCTTTTATTTTTACATTTCTTTTTCTTTCAAGTTTTATTTTTTTAAATTCTCATAATGGTATATATTTTATGTGGCATGTATTTTCCCACTACCTCTGTCCTCAAATGCTCCCAATTAGTTCCTTTGTTTCCATAGTTTCACTTCAACCTTCATGTCATAGCCTCATAATTTCATAAACATTTTATGTATCTCTATAAAATCCAACAATGACAAATCAGAAAAACATAAAATTTGTCTTTGTAACAGTGACTTTATTTGCTTAATAACTTTAGTGCATTCATTTTCTTGAAATGAGGAAATGTAATTCAAATTTGTGGTTGAAATTTTTCTGTTTAGTATATACATTACATTTTATTTACCTATTCCTTTGTTGTTGCACTTCTGATTTTGTTCCCAACGTTATTTTAAGTGGTATCAAGTTAAACGTTGATGTACAAGACTCTCTGTGATGTGTCAACTTGGAACCCATTGGGTAAATTCTCAAGAGTGGTACAACTGTGCCATGTGGAGATCTAGTTTTGAATATAGAAAGAGTTTTTTGTAGCCTTGGAACCTGTCCTGGAACTCACTCTGTAGATCAGGCTGGCCTCGAACTCACAGAGATCCACTTGTCTCTTCCTCCTGAGTACTGGGATTAAAAGCACGTGCCACAACCACCTGGTGGGTTTTTATATATTTTTTGAAAGTATATTATTTGTCTGTCTGCCTTCATAAGATTCTTTTTCATAATAAAAATCTTGGTGAGATCAGTGATATAAGAAACATACCTAAACATAATAAAAGCAATATATAGCAAGTATCTGATTTTATGTTGTTGTCTTTGACCCACTTTGACTTGAGTTTTGTGTTCGGATATATATACTGACATTCAGTTAGACAAGGATCATTTGTTGAAGATGCTTTCTTTTTTCCATTGTATAATTTTGGCTTTTTATCAAAAAGCAATTGTCCATATTTATGTGGATTTATGTCTCAGTTTTCGACTCAGTTCCCTTGATCAACCTGTCTGTTTTTATGCCAATACCATGTGTCTTTAATTACTGAAGTACAGCTTGAAATCAAGGATGGTGATGCCTCCAGAAGTACTTTAACTTTATGAGATTATTTTTGCTATTCTGGGTTTTTGGATTTTCCATGTGTAGTCGAGTACTATTCTTACAAGTTCTGTAAAGACTTACATTGGCATTTTGATGGGAATTTTGTTGAATCTGTAGATTGCTTTATATAAGATGGACATTTTAATGTTAATCCTACCAATCCATGAGCATGGGAGATCTTTCCATCTTCTGTTATCTTCTTCAATTTCTTTCTACAAAGACTTGAAGTTATTGCCAAACAGATCTTTCCCTTGCTTGGTTATAGTTACACCAAGATGTTTTACATTATTTATGGATATTGTGAAATGTGTTTCCCTAATTTCTTTCTCAGTTCACTTATTGTTTGTATATTGAAGGGCAACTTTATTATTTATTTTATATATGGCTTACTCCTGGAAGGTGTTTGTCAGCTGTAGGAGTTCCCAGGTAGAATTTGTGGGGTCGTTTATGTATACTATCATACAATCTATAAATAGTTTGGCTTCTTTCCAATTTGTATCCCCCTATTGTTCTATTGCCCTAGCTAAAAATTCAAGTACTATGTTAAACACACAGCCTTGTCTTGTCCCTGATTTTAGTGGAATTGATTTAAGTTTCTCTCGTTTAGTTTGATATTGATTACTCGCTTGCTGTATATTGCCTTTATTAGATTTAGGTATGCTATTATTTGTAGGTATGTTCCTTGTATCATTGATCTCACCAAGACTCCTATCATGATGGGATGTAGTATTTTTGTCAAAGCAGTTTTCAGCATCTAATGAGATGATCATCTGGGTTTTTTTTCCAGCTTGTTTCTATGATGGATTAAATTAACAGCATTTGTATGTTGAACCACCTCTGAATCTCTGGTGTGAAGCCCACATGATAATGGTGGATAATCTTTGATGTGTTCTTAGATTTGGTTTACAAGTATTTTATTGACTATTTTTGCATCAATGTTCAATAGTGAAATGTGTCTGTAATTCTCTTTAGTTGCTGAGTCTTTGTGTGGCTTGGGTAGCAGGGTAACAGTGACTTCATAGAATGAATTTGACAATGTTCCTGCTGTTTCTATTATGTGGAATAATTTGAGGGGGATTTTTTTTGGTTGAGAGACTTTTAATGACTGTTTCTATTTCCTTAGGAGTTATAGGAAATTTAAGTTATTTATCTGCAAATGGAAACTTTTGATGTGAATTCCCATATTATCAAATCATGAAGGCTTATTGAATTAATTATTTACTGCTTTCTTTCATATATGTAAAATCTCTTATTGAAATTGTGATTGACTGAATAACATACATCTTTAATTTTATTTTTAAAATGTTCTAGTTTTATCTCTTCATCTTTCCTATGTTCTGAGACTAAGTCTTCCAATTCCAGTTGAGTTTTTAACATCTGCTGAAGTTATATTTCTAAGAACTATTATAATTTTATCCTATTATATTTTCTTTGTTGAAAGTATTTTCAGGAGTTGCTAATTTTTATCTTTTTAAAGATTTCTTTTAGTGTTTTCCATCTATGTAAGGGCTTAATCAGATGGTGAATCATCTGTCTGTTCATCTTGCTAGCTGTGGAAAACAGTCTTGTGGGTACGCACACTTTGTTAGCTCTGGACTTCACAAGCTAAAGTGTTGGGGAATATGAACTCCATCTCTAAGAGGAGATCTAATAGCATTCCCAAAGGAAACATCTTTCATTTCTCTGCCTAGAAGTTCTGTGATTGACTGATAATATTTTGGGTCCCAGTGGATGTCTCTGTATTCAGCTTATAAGTTTTTAGTTAATCTTGCTTTTCTCTTTCCCAACTGTCTCTGATGTTGCTTAAGGCAGAAACCTTCTAAGTTGCCCTCTGTGGGAAAGAAACCTTCCAGCATCTCTGTGATAGAGAAATGGCCTGCCCATATGAGGAGATCTCAAGCTCACTCCGCACTAGCCCTACTTCTCACTTTGCTCATGAGTTCAGTAAATAGTTCGCCAGTAGATTAATAGTTACACATTATATAGCATAAGCTGGTTTGTGTCCTGGTCTCCTCTCTGCTGTCTCAATATTGAGTTTTGCTTCTGTCTGTACGTGTGTGCTACCAGCATGTGGCTCCCAGATGCAGTAGCTTTCATTGTTCTTAGATTTTTTGTTGTTGTTGTTGTTATTTCTTTTTTTAACCTCAGAAGATTCTGCTGTTTTCATAGTTACCTTCTCATCATTTTAGAATGTTTCTGGTGGGATGTTAGGTAAATGAATTTCTCCAGGAAAATATGTTATTTCTGTGACTGTCAATGGAAGAACTTCTGTTTTCTAAGTTTCATGATTGGTACTTCCCTGCCAGAGAACCAGTCCTCAACTTCTCATATAGTTTGATACTTAAACCAGCTGGAGCTTGTTGTCATGGTTAACAATAAAAATGCCTGAAATCATGTATCCATTATAAACTGTATTACCTTATTGTTGCTTGCTCTATATAATTTTATATCTGAATTCAATTTTTTTCAGGATTAGTGACATTCCTCTTAAAAGCAACACTCATTCTTCATTATCCATCATAAAAGGAAGATGAACTCTGACCCAGAGGGCTCATCAAAAGTTCCTCTGCATCCAGTTGGACTCTGGCATGGTCAAATGTCTGTCAAAGCATTTATTGTCTTCAAGGGTGTAAGATATCCTGACTGCATAAGGTATCAGTCTAACTCTGAGAAACGCATGGTCAGTTCTACTTAATAATAAATGAACTAACATAGAAGAAAGTTGATTTCCTGAAATAAACTGGGATTTTCGTGTTGGTTGGAATGTACCAACAACAGATAGTGAAATCTGAGATTCAGCCTTGTTATCTCTGCTTGGTGCCTAAGTAATGAATACCTTCCCTCATCTTATACCATACTGTTAAGACCATTTGTCAATAAACTGCCATCTTTGCCTTAAGATCTACTATACTTCAACTGGTACCTGTTGTGTTTTATTGTTGTTTGTTTGTTTTAATTTTCCTACTGTCTCTACCATCAAGTGTCATTCATTATTTACTTAAGGCAGTCACTGAATTTATCCTTATACACAATTATCATTAATATTCACAATCATAGTGTTAAATAGTTGTTATCACCTAAATGTACAGGCGAGCAAAGTAAGTCTGAAAAATCCGAGCTAGAAAATTTCACAACCAAGATTCTAGACAGAACTGTTCCCATATTCCACTTAGGATTCTGGATTGCAATTGTTAAGCAAATTATATAGATATTGTATTCCTTTTGGAGCTGAGCTTGCATACTGTGTCAGTCTTGAGTGTGTCTATGGTGATCAGCACAGATTCTGATTTTATTACTGCCTTTAGTTTCTACTCGCTGTGTCTTACCCAGGGCTGTATCCCTGTGCTCCAACCTCACTATGGAATCCTGGATAGCCACGCTTTCTGTTTGATCTTTATAGATGTTCAAGTCTCTTGCCTGCATGGAGCTTCCTTGACTCTTCTCTGATTGTTTACAGTTGACATGGTCAAAGTGGCAATGTTGCACAGTGGCTATGAGTAAAGGTTATCAAATCTTACTCTTCCTTATGAAAAATAGGATAATAATAGTCACCCCAATGTGCTTTCATAAAAAGCTAATGTATGCAAGATAAGAAGAACTTGCAGTCCTGTCTAGTGTGCCCCATAACTTGGAAAGAACTTTCCTGTTATTATCGTGCTATTTCCTCAGTATGTCCATGTGGTCTTTTTGAAACAATAAGGCCAGCATGTTAAATTAAGTAAGTCCCCTGGACTCTAGGTAAACAGTAGAGCTTTGTGCGATGAGGTCCCAACTTGTGTTGATTGATCAACTATGTCTGCTTGTAAAACAGTGAAGTCTTCCCAAGAAATTACCTCGTCATCTATTTTTCATGAGTGAATGTTTCCTCCCACTGCCCTCTTCTTTCGTTCACTAAATTGTGTTAATTTTAAGAAAGCACATGAGTGGTTGTTTGAGGTAATAAAATAATCCTGGAAGCTTATATGCCAGGAACTGGACTTGATGCCCTTCTTCTCAGTGATGGTGATGTGTGGCCCCATGGTAAGGGTGGAGAATGCTACACTCAGAACAAAGCAGCAGCTTCTCAAGCAGTCACTGTTGCCTGATAATAGTATTCACAAGTCTAGGTACTCTACTCTTTTATACACCACCATCCTGTAAACTCCTTGAAAACCTCATTTAGTTTCTTCTGGAACCAGCCACACTTCTCAGCGCTACAATCCTACCCACATCCCTCCATTTAAAAGTAACTGAATTCCCTTAGTAATTATGAATTGTCTCATAAGCATAATTTTACACATTATAAAGATCTTTGGCTTTCAAGCTTTCAGCCATTCATAATTCTTGGTTGAATTTTTTTAAAGATATTGTTTATAAAATTACATTTCCCTCATTCACATCTTTCATCTCTACTTAAGAGTTGGCAGTTTAATGATGTGAAGGGGGATTTTAAAATATTTATTTATAAGGGTATGGCCTGATGGATAATTTAATTTCAATAGATTTCATTAGCTACAATTTTTATATTTCTCTGTATTTGGACAACATTTCCTAGAAGCTAGCTTTGGGTATTTTTTGACAATCCCCCATCATTTTTGAGTCCTTTATACTCTTTTACTCTAATTCAAGAAAATTTTCCTGGGTGATAGTGAAGCTCTACCATAAAAGTCTGAGTGCCTAGAGTGACCTAACATGAGTCCGAATGAGTACAGGTGAAGGAAGAGAACTGGATCTGTTTGGATATCTAAAGGCAGTCTTATATGGATATTTTCCAGTGTACAAGAATACTATTTTAGTAAACCCTATAATACAAGCACTTTAGCAGGTTCTTAGCATGAACTTACAATGCAGTCTCAAAACAACCAAGAGATCAAGGTTCCTGCTATCACTTGTATACCGTATAAGTCCTCCAGTCACCCAACATACCTTGCCTATCTATCTGACATAAGAGAATGGGGCAGGAGCTAATACCATGTTCAGACAGGAGTGGGATAGCCTTTGCATGTTGCCTACTTAGGCATTCATTACTCCTCTGCTGATCCATTTGGCTTGAACTGTCTTCCTGTGACATGCTGAAAGAGTTTTGTACTTTGATGGCTGCCATGATTAAAATGCTGATGGGAGAGACATTGCTATAAAACCAGATCCACATCTGGATCTTAGCAGAAGTGAGGAAAGCACCGTTTCCCTGTCCTCAGTTAAACTCTGTTCCCTGAAATAAAGGCAACAGAACTATTGTTCTCAGACTTCTAACACTTATTTTAAAATCAGCTCTGTCAGCTTCTATCCCTAGCTTCCTTCCCCAAGTAGTTTGAAATTTATCGAAAACACTGAAAAGTGAGCAGTCGACATGTTATTCCATTTGGCCCCATTGATCCTATGAATGTCCTATGTCTAAAACAACACAGATACAAATTATAGATCCCCAAACATAAGATATTTGGACAGCAACACCACTGGTATCTGGGTTAGAAAACGGCTTGTTTTGAAGGCTCTCTGGATCCTGTGGAGAGTGAGCAGCAGTCTGGCCTTCACTCACTGCCTTCACATAACACCCTTTCTTAATCTTCTGACAACTAAGAAATTTAAATCAGTGCCAGTAGAGAAGCAAGGACTTAAAACTATCCTGCATCATTTGTGTCAGCTTACAAGAGATGCTCAAAGACCTAAGGCCATTTATACCACACACAAATGCCTCTGTTTCTGCTTCCCATTATGGCCTGTAGCCCTGATCCCCTACTCACTGCAGATGCTGAGGTTAGATACATAGCATCTCTTGTTAGATCTGTCATGGCTCAGCATCCACTTTTGGCATCAAACAGAAGTTCAGTCTGGACATCTGCTATTTCTCTGTGCTTTTATTCTCTTTAACCATCTCAATGCTCATTTCACAGCTCTAACTCCTCAATCCTAGATAAATCTATAGTTTTTCTTAACATAGTCACAATGGTGTAGCATCTATGAAGCCCTGTATGTATTTATTTAGCAATCTTTATTGCATCTTGAACCAGGAGAAGTTAAATCATTTTATTTTCTATTACATTTGCCTGTCTCTTAGTTAAAAGTAAAAAAAAAATCAATAGATGTTGACACCTGTCTTAGTTTCTGCTCTATTGCTGTGAAGAGATACCACGCCCAAGGCAAAACCTATAAATGAAAACATTTAATTGGCCGGCTTACACTTTTGATGATTAGTCCATGATCTTCATGGAAGGTTGTATGGAAGGTTGTAGGCAGGATGGTACTGGAGCAGTAGCTGAGGAGGGCATTATATCCTAATCTGCAGGCAACAAGGAAAGAAAGAGAGTGTGTGTGTGTGTGTGTGTGTGTGTTTGTGTGTGTGTGTGTAATAGAGAGAGAGAGAGAGAGAGAGAGAGAGAGAGAGAGAGAGGCATTTGCTTTTGGAACCTCAAAGTAGGCACAAAACTGCTCCAACAAGGTCACACCTCTTAATCAGTCCACTCTCTGGTGACCAAGCATCAAATACGTGAGCCTATGGGGATCATTCTCATTCAAACCACACAGCATCCACATCATGTATCTCTGACTCTATGAACTTGTTACTGTATTTATCGGCCTATAATATCTATTTCTAGCATTAACTAATCACTGAAATAGAGAGCTGCATTGATATGAGTGAAATTCTGTTATTGATATTACAAGAAACATAGTTCTTTCTCTTATGTTTTCATTGTAAAAAACCAACTTCACTAAATTGGCTTCTTTAAATTAAATAAAAGGAAATATTTTGTAAACTATGTCCTGACAAGGTGTTAAGATCCAACATAATCAAATAAATCAGTAATTCAATAAGAATAAAAAAATGAACTTGCCTCTTTTCCAGTCTATGAAGTTTAACAAGTGCATAATGCCACATAGCTGTAGCTACCATTAGAATATCTTACAGTCTAGATCTGTGCCACATTTCACCTATTTCTCTTTTGCTTCCTACCTTGAAGTTCCTGGCAACTGTGACTATGATTTTTTATCTTCATGGTTTTATATTTTCCAGAATGTCACAGAGTGGAAATAGCATAGTCTATAGTCTCTTCTTATGGCTTCTTTTATTTAGCAGTATACATTTATCCTTTGTAAATTTTCATAGCGTGGTGCCATGGACATCTTAATTCACTTACTTCCCAAGAAACACTTTGTTCACCCCCCAAATATAGACAATATATTTCCCTGTTAAAGGGCAGATTTTCCACACAGTCTTGCTGGCTTGAATATGTGATTTGCCTGCCTCTACCTCTTGAGTTCTGGGTTCACAATGTGTGCTGAAATGACCACAAAAATTAAGAATAATGAATAAAGCTGCCATTGATACTTGAGTGTTGAATTTTAGATGAATATAAATTTTCCAACTGCATGAGTCAATATCAAGGAGCACAACTGTCCGGCCACAGCTTAGTCAAATTGTTTTCCAACATGGCCAAGACATGACAATTTTCCTCTGTTCTCAATCTTTGCCAGCACAGGCATCATCAGTATGAAGTTTCTTTCTCATTGTTTCACTAATTATTGCTTTTAGTTGCATTGTTTGTCTTATTCCACAAATTGTAAGGAATGTGAAGGTTTCGTTCTGAGTCAGGCACTGGAGTCTGTGGTTGAAGCACCCAGGAGCACACCTGCTCCAACTTCAGGCATTGTTCTTGGGGCAGTGCTGGAGAAGCGAATGCAGGCACTCAGCTTCCTGATGAGGGAGGGCCTGCTGTATGCTGCAAATATGTGTTGCTTTTATTGCTTGATGAATAAAGCTGTTTTTGCTAATGGGGAGCCAGAGTTTAGCTAAGTGGGAATTCCCAAACAAAGAGGTACGGAAAAGACAAAAGACAGAAGGTAAGACACCTGTGCATTCTATGGAGATATATAAATTATGATAATCATGGGTTAGTAACTGAGAGAGATATAGTCAATAAAAAGCCTGAGCC